AGCAGAGCTGGCAATGTCAGAAGTTGTTGACTTGAGCCTTTTACAGCTCAGCATATTAATATGGCTTCACTTTTTATACCTCATTTTTATACTTTTTATATGAGTATCTTCGTGAGATTACCTATGAGCCAGTGTCCACTCACGTACCACAGTGTCTCAATTACTCTTCTCTCTTTGCTAGGACAAATACCCAACATTCAAAATGAAGGAAGGAAAGGTTTATTTAGCTCACAGTTACTGGAGCTTTCACCCCATACTCAGCTGGCTCCAAGGCAGAGCAGCACATGGCAGAGAGCAGCAGTTCATGGTGGCAGCAAAGAGCAGAGAGCAAAGGAGGAGTAGCGGCAACAATGGCTGCAGAGAGCAAGTCTGTCTCCCCTAAGTTACATTCAGGCTGTCTGCCCCAGGCTGAGTGTAGTCCTCACACCCATAATCCCAGCAGCACTATCACCCATAATCCAAGTGGATCATGAGTTAATCACAATCTCTAGAAGTCTGCCCCATCACTGCATGAGGACTTGGGGGACAACTAGACACAAACCATAATACTCAGAAGGGCCTTTAAGATGTCTTTTCAAAGAAAATCTGTTTTTCACCACTGAACTAATAAATTCTGGGCAAGCTCAGTGAGTTATCATCACAGTCTTTCTCCTTGGGCTTCCAAGGCTTTAGGCTGCTGGCAACCTTTTTTTTTTTTAAATTAATTCTATTGAGAAAGAAATAGTAAATGAGAGTTTCAAAACAGGTTAGTAGGACAGTTACAATAATTAACACATTGCATATTGTTGTCTTTGTAGTAGTTATTCATAGTACAAGATGCAGATATGGTATCTTGTCTAAACACTATTAGTACAAATCATTTTTCTCATTTAACTAAGAGAAAGTAGCTGTATATCTATACTATTTTGTATGTACATATATATATATATATATGTATGTGTATATATATATATTTTTTTTTTTTCACTACAAAATGGTCCTTAATTTATATCCCCCTTTTTGTTTAGTTTTGTCAGAGATGGGTATTCCACTGCCATTCAAATATTGTAGGTGTGTGAATTCAGCAAAATAATCCAATATAATTCAGTAGTCTATAATAGTAGTGGGTTATCAGCAGAACTGGTAACGTCAGAAGTTGTTGACTCAGCATATTAACATGGCTTTACTATTTATACCTTGTGTTTATACTTCTCTTCTAGATGGTTAAGACCAAGATGAAGCAAGACCTATATAACAAAAAATGTAACTTTTGTATCTGACAAGGTCAGTCAAATTCCCTCAGGATTTACCCTGTAGCCCTGTACCGCAGTTTGCAGATCCTTTGTCAGTGTCTGCCATGTGGATAAGTCACGGCCATTGCTTAACTGATTTGCTCTCTGTGAAAGCCTGAGAGAATGTTTTTTCTCTAGGTATTTCCTGGGGACCAAGAGGATCAAGGCCATACTGTCTCTGTCATCTAACAGACCTTAGCTAACTCAATCACAATGTCTCCTTTGGGACAGAAGTATCTAAACCAGTTCATTCAAAAAAAAAAAATTAGTGAGAACCATGGCAGTGAGTGTTCCAGCACTTGCTTCAGATACAAATGCAGTTCCATTTGTCATAACTTATACTGACATTCTTCTTAAATATTGCAGTGTCTTTTCTGCCTCCACGCCCTTACTCCGTATAATGCTGAACCAAAGGCTGCCAGCGTGCAGGCACTCCAGTTCCAATAAGATGATTTCTCCTTGCTTTAGCTTTAGAGCTCAGTTACTTATGAGTGCTGCTCTTCTTATTTATTTATAGATTGTCATTCTTGGGGCAGGTTTGGTGTCTAATATAGGTCTGTCCTCTTCTGCCATCTGTGGCTAGGGCAAGGGGCACATTTCTTCTTTGTTGGTGGCTGCATCGCCAGCCTTGCCCTCCCCAAGGGCAATGCTGCTTGTCCTGCACATCATGCTGCCTTATGTAACGCACGCCAATAACTTGGAACATTTTCATGCAGACGTAATCTGATCATGTTTTGATTCAGACCATGCTATGTTCTCTGGTCTCCTGGCCCTGGGAGATGCTCAAGCCCAGTATCCATGGGAACTCACCCAGACTCCCACATGTGTAATTCAGAAGGGCATGGGCATTAATGCTTCTCAGGGCCACAGGGGCCCATTCCTTTGGCATTGTGTTCTCATGGAGAAATGTTTTCTTCTCTCATTGTCTGTGCCCACACGTCTGAGATGTGTTTCAAAAGGAACCTCAGAAGTGACTGCTGATTGAGCCACCATGCTACCAGAATAGTGACCAACCTGGCAGCTCTGACATGTTTTACTACCTCACTTTCTTGTCTATACTTCCAGCTCATCCTGCTTTGTCCTGGCATCACCTGGCCTAATAAGTTTCCTTCAGTTAACGTGAATCTGACTAAACTCTTTCATTATTGTGCTTCCTTCAATTACTTTTTGAGTTAAATGTGTATGTATGTATTTATTTATTTGGTACAGGGTCTCACTATGGAGCTCAGACTCATAGTGATCCTCCTGTTTTCAGCCTCCCCAGTAGGAAGAACCTCGTGTGCATGTAGTTTTGAAGCTTCTTGCTTATTCTGTGGAGGGCGTTGGCCCAGCAGGACCCTGACCAGCTGCCACTCTTGGGATTCCTCCAGCGGTGTGTGGGTGTTGTCATGCTTCCCTGTGATGTATTTTCTACTCTATTGTGTCTTGTATTGATTACTTTCTTTTTCTACTGTTTGCTATGTGCACTTTGGTTATACTAAAATTTTGATTTCAAATTACTAAGTGGTGTATAGTGACTTTGCTTGTGGATCAGACCTGAAAAATGGATACAGGTGTGCCTCAACTGGCAAATTTACCTTGTCAATACAGAGATTCATAGACAGAAAGTCAAAGGTTGGGAAACAACTCTATGCTACAAGAACTGAGAAAAAGAAGGGATAGCTGTTCTATTTGCAGATAATGTGAACTTCAAGCCAAAACTGACCAAAAAGACAACGAAATTCACCCCATACTTGTTAGGGGAAAACTTCAAGAAGAAGAGGTAACAGTTACAAATATATATGCACCAAGTACCAGTGCACCCAACTTCATAAAATAAATATTAACAAACAGGAAAAATCAAGCACCAATACAATTCTGATGGAGGACCTTAAAACCCTACCATCACAAATAGATCAACCAGAAAGAAAATCAACAAAGAAATATCAGAGCAGAACCAAATTCATGAATAGATGGATTAAGCAGGTATCTACTGAGTGTTCCAGACAGCAACATCAGTACATACGTTCTTCTAGGTGGCACATGGATGTTCAAAATAGACCACATACTAACCCACAGAACATGCCTAAGTAAGTACACAGGACTTGAAATTATCCCATGCATATTACCTGACCAAAATACAATGGAGTTGGAAATCAAGGGCCAGGGTGATAGCTCAGTGGTCAGTGCCTGCTTAGCAAGCTCAAGGTCCTGAGCTCAATTCCTGGTATCACCACCACCAACAAAAACATGGAAAATCTATGACAAACAAAATCACAAATCCCTCAAATACAAGGAAATTAAATAGCACTGTCCTGAATAGCCAAAGGATCACAGAAAAAATTAAAGAAGAACTTAAATAGCATCTACAATTAAATGATAATGCTGAAATAATACATTGGAAGTTATGGGACACAATAAAAGCAGTCCTAAAAGGGAAATTTATGGCAGTGACTCAGGAAAACAAGAATCTCAAATAAACAACCTAATGTTGAACCTCAAACTTCTAGAAAAAGAAAAATAAATGAAGCCAAAAGCTCATACAACAGAGGAAATTGTAAAGAGCAGAGCAGAAATTAATTCACTTGAGACTAAGAAAATAATACGACAGATCACAAAATCAGGGTGAAATTTCCTGACCCTCTCCTGTGATGCCCAGGATCTAAAGCAGGTTATGGCACACATGGGCTCATGTGACTATTTCCTGAGTAAATAAATACTTAATATCTATGGTGTTTTTAACAAGTCATGTCATATAGCGTGTAATAACTTCTATGTTTTATGATACATGTCAAGTATACAGTGAATGTGATTGTCTCAATGTGTCAAATAATCTCTTGCGATGATTAAGTCCCCCATCCATGGGTTCTGGTACACTCTTAGGACTGCTCCTCTGGAGGCAGTGGTGCACCTTTCTCACCTACTATGCGAAGCTCCTCCTGACCTGCTCCTACCTCCTCAGCACCCTCACAGCCCTTCCACTTCCACCTAGGTCTCCCTGATATCTGTGCTTGCCCGAGCTGAGCATGCCATCACTTCATGCTTGGGCCTTTCATGCATATTGTTCCAACTCCCAAGGATGTTCTCCACCCAGCTTCTACCCTGAGCCCATGTGCCATGCCTGTCAGGAAGCACTCACAGGATCCCTCCCATGAAGCCTTTCAGGATCTCTCTGTTCCTTCCGAGCTTCCTCTATTAAGCCTGAGCTCCTTGGCAGAGTGCTACAAAAGCTCAATGTTCCTGAGGGCCAAGTCTCTGGTTGAAGAAGAGCAAAAAATAGAATATTGTGCTACAGTCCACCCAAGGAGTCACAGGCTTTCTTCCTGTCTTCAAGGCAGTGCAACTACCTTGTCTTCGCACTGAACAGAAGACCTCCTGAAGACAATGGGGTGAAGATGTCCAAGTGACAGGGAAACTTGACTGCCTGTCTCATTTTTTCCCTGTCATTTCCTCTGGGTTTTGTGGACACAATCTTTGTATCTGTGAAAATGGTTTTTCTTGGCTTTCTTTTCTCTTTCTTTAAGGCAACATGTTGTGAAGCCCACAAAGCCTCCCCTATAAAAGGTTTTTCAAAGACTAATGTTCTAGAAATTGTAGGCTCTGAAAGGATTTGAAGGACAGATTTTGAAGGGAAGAACAATAGAACAAGGGAAACTGGTGAGAAATTTATTTTAGGGCTTGCAATAGATTTCTCCAGCCATACTTAGGAAACCAAGTGGACAGTATGACATGCATAAGGGTTCCCATTACTTTATGAACAGGGTACTGATTTTAGAGACCTGACCTCCTTTGATAGGTATCACTGCATCATCGTTAGGGCAGATATTTTTTTCCTGAGTAATACCAACCCCTGCTGCAACGAGTAGGGTACCTGGAAGAGAGGAGCACAAAGATCATCTCAGAGATATCATAGGGTCTTCTATTTTCTGCTGGGATCAGGTACCTGCCTAATGGGTCTCAGTTTCCCCAAATCATTGGCAAATTGATGACCTGCTTTTTTCAGGTAGTCCCTTTCTTTTGGATCCTGGGCATTAATCCATCGGCTCCCCATGGTTCCCTTCCCTACTCTACCCTCTGTTCTTCCACCTGACAGTTCAGAACCGTTTCTGATTTTCCCTCCCTGGTGGAGAGCCCCTCTCTTAGAGAAGGCCTATACTCACTGTTGGTCTGGATGTCCCAGAAGAATGTTCTTGGGTAATCTTCACAGAGACAGGCAGTGTATGTATAGTTGAAGGGACCCTTCATTGGCTTGCTGGTCAATATGTAAGCTTTAATCTGGTGGGGAGAGAAGAATCAGAATGAATTTGGCTTATTGGAGGAGAAGAAACACAAGAGTTGAAGAAGCTTGAGGTGACCCAGGTTATGGAGGAACCCTCTTAGGTAGAGTAATTTAAGAGGCTTATTCATGTCAGGTTCCTTCTCCTCCTGTTCTTTAGGGGCTGCCTAAATTGTGGACATGTTTAAAAGGAGACATGCGTATGCAAATGATCCCACCAACTTCATCATGGGAAGGATTTCTTTTTCTTTTTTTTTCTTTTGCCTGGCTCAGACTGCCTTAAGGATGGGTGTGGTAAGGCATGTGAAACTGAGGATTGAGCCACAGTCCCCTGGGCCTGACTGGGTTTGCCCAAGTAAGCGCCTAAACAACTGGGATAACCCACAAGTCCTCTACCAATGCCATCATGGGATGGCAGTCCATTGAGGAGGCTGGCCTTAGTTGCCAGCTCTTTCTGGAGGATCAGCCTGCATGATTTTTTTATTCTGTTACCTTGGGTGTAGGCATCGAGGCCAACCTCAAGGTTGACCAGACACCACTGTGTTCCCTTCTAACTTCATGAGCTTTGGTGATTGAAGTTAGTCTTTTCCCTGCCACTTTTCTCCTCTGTGAGATAGAAATCACTGCCTCTCAAGGTTGGGTGTTAGATAAGCTATGGAAGCCTGCCTGTCTGCCTGTCTTCCTTCCTTCCTTCTTTCCTTCCTTCCTTTCTCCAATTTGAGACTGCTTGGCAATTTAAGAGCTCATACAACTGTATGTATCAATTTCTAGCTAGTGTTCACAGAGGGGTTTTATCCTGGGGCCTATAAACCCAGAGGAACCTGTGGATACAGTCACTGGCTCTGTAAATATTGATGGAAAGAAATTGCATCTTCATTTTACTAACCCTTAGCTGACATTTCACATTCCTTTAGTGACAAAAAGCATTAACACAGCACTGTAGCTTCAGCACTGTGTGTAACTTTGTAGTAAGGAAGAAAATGGTTCATAGCACCTGATAGGCTACAGTATCTCAGATTTTGCCTACACTCATCACCGTACTGCCCTGAACGTGTGGGAGTTATGAGAGTTGCTGTGTATGGCTTCTGACCACCCCAGAAGCTTGCTCTGGTCCCTGGCAGCTCTGCACTGAGGAACCCTCAGGCCCACAGGACATCTTAGTATTCTCACCAAGCAATGCAACTCAGAACTCCCTGAAGAACACTGGCACTCCAAGCAGCCTATCCTAGTACAGCTTGTTTTTTCTTTTTTGGCTGGATTTGCAACAAAATATCATTATGAATGAGAGTGTTCAACGTTTGTCCTAAAATAAAAAAAAAATCAGAATCCTTTAGATGTCCAGCCTATCTGGCACCACAAGCGCCAAAGACTAGGACAGTTTGTAGTACCTCCTTCCTCAAGTTTAGAGACAGCAGCCACTGCAGATCACGTCTTTGCAAAATGAAACTTGTTTACAGTTTAAATGTGTCAATTTTTCCATTTTATGCATCAATAAACATATTGCTTCACAATTTTGTTTTGTTGTTTTTAACATGATAGTTTTCATAAATAAATTCATATACTTTTGCATTTAAAGGCATTTTGCAGTTTTTATTTTGTCTTTTTGTAATGTGTTTGATACAGGGTCTCACTACATAGTTTGGACTTGTAGAGATCCTCTAGTTTTCAGCCTCCCCAGTGCTGAGATTACAGCTGTGTGCCACCACACCTGGTCTCAGTGTAAGGCTCTATGCACCTGGGGCTGGAGTGGTATGTGGTTTTGGGGATCGAACTCTGGTCCCTGCACTTGCCAAAGTAGCCACTTAGTGCACAGAGCTATCTCACCAGCTCTATTTTGTTGAGACAGATTTTGACTATGCAGTTCAGGCCTTGAATTCACTTTGTAGATCTGGCTGGCCTCCATCTTACAGTGATCCTCCTGCCTCAGCGTCCCGAGTACTGGGATTGCAGGAGTGTGCCAAACCATCTGGCCTAATTTTAAAGTATTACATAAACTTTATATTCAAACACATAATCACAGGAGTCCTGTTTTAATTCTAAAATGAGTGTTAGCCTAAGGCTTTAATTTATTAAAAATCATTTATAAAACATTACTTACTTCAAAATGAGGCGGGAGAATTTTCAAATTTGTAAACAGATTGTAATTTTTTTTTTTTTTTTTTTTTTTTGGGTGGTGGAATCTGGGATGAAACTCAGGGCCTTGAGTTTTCCAGGCAAATACTTATTCCACTGAGCTATCTCCCTGGCCCCAGATTCTATTTTCCTAATTTTTTTTTAGTGTATTTAGTACAGGATGTACAGGGTCTCACTACATAGATCAGACTCGTAGTGCTCAGCCTGCCAAGTGTTGGGATTACAGGCAGGCTCCACCATCTCAATTGCTGTCTCAGTGTACCCGGGGGCAGGGCCAGCACAGCACACTGGGGATTGAACCCTGGCTGCTGCATCTGCCTAAGCAGGCACTTTAGTGCACTAAGCTATGGCCAGCCCTCCTAAATGCTTTGAAATATAAATATATTAAAATCATATTCATATTTACTTTTTACCACAAGTTACAAGTGAATGTTGGTTGAGTAAAGTTAAAATTCTCTTTCACATGAGCTCTTTTTTGGTTACCAATGCACTGATTCAGACTGGAGTGTCTTATCCTTTTGCTTGGTTCTGAAAGATCACTCTTACGTTGCACCAGCAGGACTCTTAAGTGTATAATTTCATTGGTCATGATATTACATGTCATTTTGTAGATTTGTGACCATTTATAATGTTTTCAGTTTTTTTTTATGGATGAAGATAAAGCTTCATCATGTACTGTGATCATAAACAAATACAGCTAATATTTAATTTATACAAAGTAGACACAATGTCTTCATCTGTAGTTACAGTAAATGAGATGTAAAGCTAGAAAACTAGGAATTAACCTTATACCACCATATATGGTTCAGATTGTTGGATGGCAAATGGAAAAAAATGGACGAAACATCTGGAATGTTCTCTGCCCAGTGACCAAGAACCTTGTTCTTGCTGGCGCGGCGGTGCATTTAGAGCGCATTGTAGCAAAGAGCGGTCCTCATGCTCCCAGTTTGGTTTCTTGCTTGGTCCTTGGGCGTAAGTCTCACTGGACTTAGAAGAGCTGTGTTGCAGGGCCGCGTGGCATGCAGTGCTGTCACCCCAGGCTGCGCTAAGTGTGGTCTCTGGAATGGGGCTTCTGCTTGCCCCAGGACTGTGTGAGAAATTTAGACAGCGACTTCTCCCTGCACCTGGGAGTGAGGGAGATTCTGTGCTTTGATGGGACCCCGGGTGAGTTGGAGGCACCAGCGTGTGCTGAGGTTCAGAGCGGACTGTGCGCTGCCAGCCACTGAGCTGGGAAAAGGAGAGGCATGTGAGCTGCCGGTTGGCCAGGGGAAGCCTGGGCCAGAGTCAGCTACTGGGGAGACAGGACAAGGAGCAGGGGGAGGGCAAGAGGGAAGCAGGCTCATGGCAGAACCCACGGAGAGGAGGCGCCAGAGCCCGCAGGCCTCACCAGCTCAGCCGCTCACCCCTGCTGCGAGGGCTGCAGTGTGTGCCTCTGAGCACCCGCCCTGACTATACCCAGAATGCGCCACACTCAGGACCCTGGAGAAACTGCTAGTTCTCTGGTCTTTTTTTCTCCCTTTCATTCATAATTCTGATTCTTATTTTTTCCTTTTTTTATTCTTCCCAGAACTGGCTGCGTCAGTATGGTAAGATAGAAATAGTCATCTTTCTCAGTCTCGCAATTGTTCTGACAGGCAGCATAACATATTTGACAACGTATTATTAGTGATACTGTACAATATGAAAATGAGAGTTTGATTGTTTTGCACTTGTAATGAAGGAGTCAGAGGTGCCTCGAGGTCACTCCCCCACGCTTCTACTCACCACCATGCATTCTCTCAGTTCTGTTTGGACTTTAAGTTTCAAGGAGACCACTTCACCTGCCCGTGCCGTCTTCGGCATCTCCATGTTGACTATCAGCGCCTTCCGACTGATCCTGGGAGAGCAAAGCAGGTCACAGAGCTCAGAAACCAGTCCGCACGGACGGTGGGCCCCAGGATGTGGCAGGAGGGAGAGGGACCCTGCCAGGGAGGGGAAGATGGGGTCAGATCAATGGTCAGCACCAGACTCCCCAGGCACTGATGTGCTGGTTGGTTTGGACGCTTTGTGTGGATTCAGTTTTGTTGAAAAATAAGTATGTCATTTTTTTTTTCCACTGAGAAAATATTTAAAAACCAGGAAAAGTTTAAGGAACATTATTCTTTGTTTTTTGTTCACATCTGGATCTGAACCTATCTCCCAAGGTTTCTGAGCATGATAGGCTCCATCAGACAAGCCTGAAGGAATCCTGAGCAGCTTCCCTCAGGACAGAGCATCTGGCCCAGGCCTCACAGAGCACCTCCAGGCCACTGTCCAGATGCACAGCTCAGTACAGGGATACTCTTCATTTCCTACTTAAGTTACTTCCCTCATTTTTCTGCTTCTTTCAAACAAGGGTGCTCCAGGTTGCAGGGTGGGCTTGAGCTGTGACCTCCTACAGCCATCATCTTTGGCTTCAGGGCAGGAGACGTGTGTAAGCTCCCTGCAGTCTCTCTCTACCTCAGCCCATACGATGACGATGTGAGGGTGTCCTTCAGTGAGTCCTGCTGAAGCTGCACAGAGTGGTTGCTGAAACTCTTGTGCCTTCTCTTGTGTGAGGCCAAGTGAGAGAAGGTAAAGTCTATGGAGCAGCAATGAATGTAAGGTTTATGGAGCTGAAAAGCTGGGAAAGTTTCTGAAGCAGAAAACAAAGGAAGTTGAGGATGATCTGTGGTTCAGTGAGTAAGAGAGAGATGAACTTTTTCTTTTTGGAGACAGGCTTTTGCTACGTAGTTCAAGGTGGCCTTCAACTGTACATGCACCCCATGCTGAACTTGAACTACAGGTGACCTTGCTAATTTAGGCTCCCCAGTGCTGGGAATACAGGCATGAGTCTGTCTTGGAGCAAAACTATGTGCTAATTACAATCTCTGTGACCGAGATGAGCCTCATTCCATAGGTAAGCAGAGGAAAAGAGAGTGGGATCCACAGCCCTTCCTAAGAGGCGAGAAGTGGACTGGTCTACTTGGTTATCTTATAGTAGTCTCTAGATGATGTGCCACTAAAAAGTGATTCGAATAAGAGTCTGTGAGCCCCTCAGCCTGGAATTCTGGGAAGCTTAAAAAATGTCCAAGAAGGGACATGGGGAGGCCCTTTCCCATGGGTATTCTGTAGGGAGGAGAAGGGCTGGCTCACGTGTCTTCCTGGGCTGTGCTGATCCCCAGCTGCAGGCACAGAAGCAGGAGCAGGGCGGCAGGGCTGGCCTGGAACAGGAGCTGGAGAGGGCACATGTTGGAGGACTCATAGGCGATGTCCAGGGACTGTGGTGCCTGGGTGCCAGGACAGCTCTTATATGCAGATCAAGGAAGAGGAAGGGCTGTGTGGTAGGTGCATAGGGTGAATCACCCAGTCACTCTCCTTACTTTTTCCTTATTGACCTGAAGTTTATTTTTCTATGCAAAATAATTCAACATTTATTGAGATGGTTACCATCTGGGAGAGATGCCCTTCATGATTTTCTCAGGATCGGAAGTCCTCAAAGTGACTTCTCTCTGGCATATGGCGTAGTTATAATTTTCTTTTCCCCATGGTATATTTATCATTTTGTGTGTAGCCTTAGCTTCAACCACTATCTCTGCAAGAAGGGAGCATGCAATGCTGGTAGATTCCAAACTACAGCCCTAGGGCACATTCACTTGGTTATTTTATAGTATGCCCTAGATGACACGTTGCTAAAAAGTGAGGGTGATGAGCATCTTCCTGGAACCCAACACCAATGACATAGTGATGAACAGCCTTTCTCTGGGTGATAGAGGTGAGCAAAGAGCAGAGTAGGGGCAAGTGTCATGGTGTCACGGTTGGCAAGCACTATGAAAGTATTTGGGATCGCTAAACTCTTTGGAATGTCTGGGGCCTTAATAAATACTACCGATAACCAAGATCCTGGGTGCTTCTAAGTCCCAACTGCTGGGGACTGGTGATTTTAATCCTAGATAGTTCTTTAAAAGTTGACACTGCCGAATCAGACTTTTTCACCCCAGAGAGTTTTTCTTTTCATCATGGTAAGCTGACTTTTCACACTTGTCTTGTAGCAGAACGCCCATGGGAGGACACAATGGGAGTCAGTTCATTCACTAGAACAGAGCACAAACCATGTCTAGGTGCCGTCCTGGCTCAAGAGCTCTTTTCTATGGAATTCAAGGGAGACTCAGTCCTGCCATCACCGGCGTTGTGCTATTTCTCTTTGTCAAATTAAATTATTCCTTAGTCTATGACTTGCAAATTATGGGATTTGTGTCTACCCTTTGCGTGACAAGAAAAATGCTGCTCTTGGTCATGAGAGAAAACCATTATTATAGAAGCTGTCTGTGTAAATCAGCAGAGGCAGAATTAAGAATAACTATCGGGACATATGCTTTGAGTCCCGGATGTACCTTTAAAACTTTCCTCACCTGGGTGTTCTATTGCTGTACATCCAGTCTCTTTTCTTTGAGTGTGATATCATGTCATCCTCCACTTAGAGCTTCAGCAGTTCTCCTAATCCCACACTTTCTGCTCGGTTTCTCTTCCCTGAGTTCAGTAACAGTGCTTTTGTTCCACTTTGCCCTGACCAAGTGACTCTCTTTCATAACCCTCTGTGTGTTTTAATGTTCGGTGCTTGGCTTTTCTCTTACTCAGTTGAGTAATTACCATCATAAAGACATTCTAACTGACAACAGTCAAGGACTAACTCCAAAGCCTCTACAGAGTGGGCCTGGATTGGGACAATATATATAGGGGCTCTTGATGGAGTTCTTTCTCTCCCAAGGCACAATGCTGCCTTTCAGGAATTGCTTCAACACTCACAACAAATTAGGCCTCAGAAAAAGCAGAGGACAAGGAGTTAAGAGAATGCCCTCAAACCACAGTGTTCACTCTCCGATAAGCCAGCAGGAAATTGTAATACTCAGAACTCTTCAAAATACACAGTGCATTTTAAGTAGTATGCTGCCACTTACTGATGTGGCATTTAGTTTTATACATGAACCTGGCTAGGCAGGGCACCTAGTTGTCAGTAGAAACCAGTCTAGATGTTTTTGGAAGGACATTTTTCAAAGATGTGATTAGTATTGAAATCGGCAGCCTCCTGTAAAGGCAAATCCATCATGCAAATCTGTATATGTCTCTATTCTGTTTCAGGCTGACACAGATATCAGCATTCAGGGAACAGAACACATTTGTAAGGTCAGTATTTCAGACGTGGGACAGAGTAAATAGCTTTTCAAATCTGCACATGACATGCAGTGATGCTTTCAGAATGGAATTTATGACAAATTCGATGGTTATGCCACTTACTTGCCAATGTTATTGTTTTAAATTCAGCCTAGCAGATGGTTCTTCAGGGGTAAATACAGAGCAGTATTGTCACAGTGTGAGTAATGAATATGTGTCATAAGTTTAAGAGACCAAGGAGAGGCTGATAAGGCCAGACTGTAAAAGAACTTGGAAGGCTTAGAGAAGACATGTACAGAGACATGAGGAAAGAATTAGGAATTCCGGGGAAACTTATTACAGGCAAAATTTGCAAAGAGTGGATATCACAGAGCTTAGAGTTCTCATAAATGAGCAGGATAAGGAATGGCTAACAAAGAAAAGGTGTTGTGGGAGGAAGCAGTCTTGGGGGACATGGCATAGTCATGGTATTGTGTAGAACATGTTTCATGCATAAAATCCTGAATCCTCGTGGGAACCCTATGAAGTACTTTGCCATTTTTATCTCATTTTGCAAATGAGGAAAAAGGGGCAGAGAAGAAAAAGGTATCAAGCTTATGTCCCAGAGCCAGTATCTGGTGGTGTGACCATTGGATCCCGATTTTGTGATGTCCCTCTAATTTCCTTCATGCTGTTTGGGATTCTAGCTCAGACATGTGGCACAGATTTACCGATATAAAACACAGACAAAACATCCCTAGAAGGGCACTTGTCAGGGTAGCCGCCCTGAGGTTTCTTATCAGCCAAGAGGTGAATGTGCCTGTGAATTGAGCACAGGAGGAGCACAGACCCTGGGACTCCGAATCCTGAGCCTTGCATCTCACGCCTGTCATGTGCTCAAGTGGCCAAGTTAGTAACCAGCAGTATTGGAGTTCAAACCAAGTAATCTGATATCAGTCTATGTCTTTAGACTGCCTGTCCACCATGTTTTTGGTGCCGCAATTTTTTTATAGTTGAGGAAAGTAAGCATGCACAGCTTTTCATAGCTTGTTTCGATCATACACAGTGGAGGCAGTGGAAGTGGGTGTGGGTGGCAAGGGCAGCAGGCTGGGACCCGAGTACCACAGCATGGACTGGACACCTCGCTGGCTGTGCCCGCGGACTGGGAGCACTGCAATAAACCTGTGGCAGGGAGGCGGGTGCAGGGTGAGATCCCGGGTTCTCTGTGGTGGCGGCAACGGTACGAGGACCTGAGGTTGAGCCAACTTGAGCAGTTACCGCAGGAAGCCGGGCAGCTCAAGGCCCAGATCTGGGATGCTTGGAAAGCATGTGCAGATGTAACTCCCTCATAGATTATGAACAACATCGACCCAGTGGAAAGAATCCAGATGCACAGCAGGAGGACTTTGAGGAGGCACCTGGCCAAGATCTATGCCATGCACTGGGCACAAACTCGAGGCTCCTGGTCAGCGCCTCGCAGGGTGGGAAACTCACCATTTGGGACAGTTATATCACAAACAAGGTCCACGCCAGCCCCCTGTGCTCCTCCTGGGTCATGACCTGTGCTTATGCCCCCTCTGGAAACTGTGTAGCCTGTGACAGCCTGGACAACATTTGCTCTCTTTCCAATCTGAAGACTAGTGAAGGGAACGTGCCTGTGAGCTGTGAGCTGGCAGGCACCATGCTACTGTGATTCCTGGATGACAATCAGATTGTCACCAGATCTGGAGACACCATGTGTGCACTGTGGGACATCGAGACTGGCTAGCAGACAACCACATTCACTGGACACACTGGGGACGTCATGAGCCTGTCTCTGGCTCCCGACATCAGACTATTTGTCTCCGGTGCATGTGATGCCTCAGCTAAGCTCTGGGATGTCTGAGAAGGCATGTGTTGGTAGACCTTCACTGGCCATGAGTCCAACACAAAAGCCATCTGCTTCTTTCCAAATGGCAGTGCATTTGCCACCGGCTCAGATGACACTACCTGCAGGCTCTTCAACCTCCATGCAGACCAGAAACTCATGATCTATTTCTACAACGACATCATATGCGGGATCACCTCTGTTTTTTTCCAAGAGACGGTACCTCCTCCTTGCTGGATATGATGACTTCAGCTGCAATGTGTGGGATGCCCTCAAAGCTGACAGGGCAAGTGTCTTGGCTGAACATGACAACCGCATCAGCTGCCTGGGAGTGACTGATGATGGCATGGCTGTGGCAGCAGGGTCCTGAGACAGCTTCCTCAAGATCTGGAACTAACCTCAGTAGCCACAGGTGGATGCCACCGTGACCGGAAGACCATTCCAAACTTGAAATGCTACAGTGAGAGCATATCTTATCTATCCATACTAAAGTGGTCACCCACACTCCCCTCAGAACTTCAAAGGGCAAGATCTTGTCTCCTTCATTTGTTGCTGAAACCAAGAGCACAATTCCCATTAAGAGAAAGATCTCCGTGCTATAAACTAAAACAAATTGTGCTTTCCTTCCGGGGCCATCGTCTTTGTTTTCTTTTTTTGTCTTGGATGAATTGTAAAAGAAAATACTACAATAAAAATATTAAGCAGAAGGTAAAAACAAAAACAAAAACAAAAAAACAATGACAACAACAACAATAACAATCATACAGTCAATAAATAAGAAAGGTTCCATTGAAACCCGGTGAGACCTTATTCCAGGGTTGGCATTTACACCAACTGTTCTTTATTGCTTCCTAAGAAGTGAAAGTGTGTGCAGTACAGGATACATACAAGGACATTCAACCTGTGCTGAGTAATGAGCTGTTTACCAAAGGAGGGCACCTTCAAGATTAGTGTGAAAGTAAAAAAAAAAAAAAAAAAAAAAAAAAAAGATTAGTGTGAAAGTACTGCAACCTGCATGAAACCCTTCCTAAGAGAAGCCCGAGCATGTGTGTGTTTTTCCACGTGTATGTGAGCAATAATGAGCTAGCTGGATTAAGAATAAAATCTTAACAGGCATCATAAAGTAGAGGTCTATTTATTTATTTATTTATTTATATTTTAAAGACAATAAGTAAAACTAACAATAAAACAGTTTCAAAATAGGCTAGTACTGGGCC